GATTCTCCATTTTCTTTTCAAAGGTTACATTCTTCTGTCCTGTGGTACAGAATACACTTGCAACAATACTTCTTATTGATAATTCTTCTGTCTTTGCATATTATATATATATATATTTGCATATTTAGTGTTGAGGGAGGCTAATTCAAAAGTAACGGGAAGTAATCAAGTTCTGTTACTTTAATATCGTGATATTAAACTATTGATAGGACGGCTGAAGGCGACAGGTTGGACTCCAACCCACGGCCGCTGCAGCAAGAACTTAACCATTGTACATGGGCGCCAGCTCTACCATGTGACCAACCAGTAATTTTAGGATGGTTTTGTGGACTATGAAAATGTTTTTGGACTTGCAACTTCTGCGGGACAACCAACATTTAGCTACTACTGCTGGTCACGTGTCTCCTCAAAGCCAATTTCAACCGGAAGTGGTCGTTTACCGCCATGTTGTCGCCAGTGTTTCCCACGTTGACCTGAGAAGTTCACTGCTTCACTTGGTAAAAGTAAGTTTTTTTCGTAGCTGGCTGCTTTCTTGTGCTGAGATGAATATTGTAAGATGGTGTATTGGTTGTACTGAGTTGGTGTTTGTGTGCTTATCAATAAGCTATGAGACTGAGGCTCTTTTATTTTTTCCTCAGATGTGCTTGATGTCTTTGTGTTTGCTGGCTGTTTTCCACTTTAATGCTGCTGTAAATGTATTTACAGGGTTGGCATTGATATTAAATGTAAATGAACTTCCTGAAGTGTCTGACAGTGACATTATTTTTCGTCTGGTTGATGTTTGGCACTTTTTTGTGTTGCTGATTTACATAGTGGTGAAATATGAACATGTTTGTGTGTGTGTTATGAATCTGCAGGGCTAAATTGGTTTTCTGCATATTTCCCCTTCTTGCTTGTTGTTGCTTGTTGTTTTGAGGGCTCATTGCAAGCCAGGTCTGTTGTAAAAAAAAAAATTGTATATTAGCTTTAGGGGGTGTAAACATGACTGCACATCCCATTCACATAATTATATCCCTGTAATATTTGCATCATGGTGAGCTCAGTGTGGCTTAACATTATCTTCGCATGTTTTATCGTCATCCGAACATAAGATAAATATTTCAAATCAAAGCACAGGGTTTATGTGACCGTTTCCTTTACTTTTCTTCACATCAACATATAAATTACATCTTAACTGGTGAGCTCCTATTTGTGTCATGCTCCTACATTCAGCTGCACTCAAGGCTTATACAGTATTATACAGTACCGACGGTCATTTGCTGCCTATCAGTGCCACATAACGTTTCACAGGAATTCAAATGCTTAAAGCATTGTGTTTGTGTGAGTTTAATATGCTTAATAATGATCTGTTACATATATGATGTCTCCCAGCCTTCTGCTACAAATCACGTGGATTGTGGTGTTAAGATTTGTTCGTCCCATTTAACTAGATGGTAGAGATTCCCTGCAGTTTGGGGGGAATGAAGTTTATTATTGTCACTCTTGTATCTCTTAGTTGTGATGACTATGTGACTAGAACATGGATGCCAAATATGAACCTTTTTAGATTAGTTGTATTTACATAATATATCCATGTCCCATGTGAGATAGCGACTGAGCTCTAGTTTCCCAACTACAAAACCCATTTTGAAGACCAATGACTACATCTTGTCAGAATGTAATACTAATAATTAATCAAATTAATTTGAATTAAATAGTATTCATATTTCATCATATTCAAAGCAGTGGTTCTCAACCTCTGTATTTTTTCTGACATTCAGACTAAAAGACTGCAAACACAAATCTTGCACAGTGGGTGTTTTTGTCTTTGCTGCGGGCGGAAGCAAGCAGTCGAAAAACAAACTCGGGGTGCCAGGATTTATCTCGTGCCCACCAGAAGGATGGAGACGGAGTCAGCAAATGAAGTTGAAAAGAAGATTAAAGTGAGTTTTTACAAAACAAAAGCAAAGCAAGGCAAGTCTGACATTTCTCAGTTGTTACTGACACAGTAAAATAACGTTCTTTTCACCTGCGGGACAGCAGAAGACATAAAATCTCTATAGTGTGGGTGTGAATGGTCTGAAATCCACCAGGAGCAGGATTAAGAAAACAGTCCAGTGCAGGGCTCTGCTTCAGACCTCTATATATAGTTTGAATTAATCAGAAAACGGCAATTTACTCTTTCGTTAAACTGCTTGCATCTTTGTAGATTTAAAAATGCTGGGAAAATACATTTCAATTATACAAAGATTCAAGGAATCAAGGATTTGGAGGTTTATTTGTCACGTACACAAGTAATAGTGTAAATGTAAAAACAAGTGTGAAACAAGATCAAAAATATAAATATGTCATAAGTGTAAGTATGCAATGCCCAGTGTGATTCACTAGAGACAATGTGAGACAATGTGATAATATATATACGACCTGTTCTGTCTTAGTTTCTCTTAGTTTCTCTGTGGACAATAACACTTTGATATCATACAACAAATTAGCCAAAGCCATACATCAGTCTTGAAATATCATCATTTGTTCTTATTTTCCTTAGCATCAATTGGGTGTGGTCCACCACGGCACTCAGAACGGCTATTTTCAATGGACGTCATGAAACAGTGACATTAATATCTACTTTAGATGGATCCTAATGCAGTGTCAGTGCCACAGAAGATCCGGCCTGAGCAGACGGGGCAACGGAGAGACGAGGACTAATGGAGTTTTAATAGATAAATGTTGGCAGGATGTATCTCAGACTCCTCAATAACAGCAGGATGTGGAAATCCAGACAATGATTTTTAAATGGTGATGGATGGCAGCAATTGCTTTCATTTGCACAGATGGGAAGAGCATTGGTTACGGGCATACTGGAAGGAAGAGGACAGTAAGATGGAGGAGAGATGGTAGAGCAAGGAAGCAGCTTGATGAGCAGAACCTGGACAGAGTGATGGACAGAAGTGTCTGAGGGTTGGGTAAAAGTGGAAGACGGAACTTATTAGGAAAGCTCAAAGGGACCTTGACAAGGTGGTAACAAACTTCTTGGTTGCTGTGGGGCTTTTGACTCAAGCGAGCAGCAGCTGGTGCCTGATTTGAAGCGAGGTCTTAAGGCCTGTCGCTGTCTGTCAGTTTTTAGCCATCACCTTTTAGTTTTAATTATGTTTCCATGTTGGCCAGCTTTGGAAGTGGCTCTGTCAACCCGAGGAGGGTCACTATTTTAAGGCCGGATGAATCACCTCATGGTGTATTGATTGACATTAAAAAAAGGAAACACTGTTCATTCAGAGGCTTATTGAGCCCCCGAACCGACAAAAGGCAGCAAAAGGTCGAGTCAAAAACACCACTGAATACATCAATAACATAACAAAACTTTTTTTTTTTCTCTTTGATGGCTAGAAAAAGAAAATGTTACCTCAGATTCATTCCGACATTTACTGAATCCTTGCCCTATAATATTATTCTAGTATTAGTAACCGTAACTAGGCATGTCACAACTATTTAATAGCACAGTCTGTCAGTCCGTCTCTGGTCTACCATAAGATGCAAATGTTAGCATGTCAGGCTAATTAGCTTACTACTGAAAGCTGAAACCTTGGCTGTTACTTCCATGGCCAAGAGTTAGCATATTTAGCTAACTACATTATTCCGTGGGGTTTGGTTTACATTATAGAAAGCCCTGGTCAACTAGCATATACACTGTGTGCGAGCCTGTCCTAAATGGTGCTGTATCATAAAGCAGGTAACCTAAGTGGTATTGGATTTGGAAAATGTACACTCAAGAGGCCAGATGTATGAACAATTAGTACACACGGAAAGTGTACTTTTCACACAGGTTTTTAAATGTTAAAAAAAAAAACCCACATGCGGTGAGAATGTGCGTATTGGTACACATCTTTAACACTATGTGTACCCCACATAGTCCTTTTGAGTCTTATTGTGTGATGTTGCGAGTTGGCAAAAAAGTTAGGAAAAATAAAAGTTAGGATGTGTGTGTTTGATAACCTTTTTGTAATCTTTAGTAATTTTTTAACTATAAATAATCAAATAAATTCATGAACTTTAACAAAATAGATGGCACTCGGAGCTAACAGCGTTCACTGCCTCCATTACCTTCTGCCATTCACCCTGCTTCATTATATTGTTCATGCCAGAGCTTAGTGATCCAAATAACACAGGCTTTCTTTTATCAATTTGATCCACCATTACCTCCAGTTCACATTCCATAAAACTGCGCTTCTTCATTTGCTTCTTCGATGCTTCCGCCATTGATTCTCAAAACTTATCTAAATGCTGATCCTTCATTTGCAAATCATGCAATATTTTTTGAGGGAATGGTCAGAAGGCTCGTGCAGGTGTGCGCAATTTCAGGATGATTGAGATGTTTGTACGTGAGATTTTATAAATCTGACAAAATACTGTGTATGCATGTGTGAAAAACGAAAAAAAAACGTATTCTCTTGTAACATTTAAACCTAAATCATGCTGTTTAAAAATACTAACAAAACAGCAGCCAGGATGCAGATTTTTTGCGTGGGTCATGCAGCTTTAGCCTCAGTCTTTTAGCATAATATCATGTATGTTCATAGGGGTAGCAACAGTAACTAATGCTCTTCCCTGTGTTTACCACTGATGTTATACACATACACATACACACACACACACACATGCCCAATCTGACTATTATGTAAATTGGAAATGTTGTGGGGGAAATAGGTGATTAAATTTGTGCCAATAAAATTAGCTGGTAAAAGACAAAATAACCTTTTAAATTATTTAATCAAATAATTGGAGGTAAAGGACAAAATCAAATGCTTATTTCTATTCCTAACCATCTTTTTTACACTCAATTGGAATTATATAACTAATATTTACTTATTCATGTATTTAGTTATATTTTAGACTTCCCTGACAACCTTTTTCTAACTTTTGTCAGTTTCAGGCCTCCATAGGGGGTTAAAGGCTTAATGAAATACAGGACTTTTATTTAATTTTTTTCAAAGAGCATTTGACACAGAGGGATTTAAACACACTGGAAAAGATAAAACTTTATTTCTCCCTGTCGTGACAATACAAAGTCAACAAGTGCAATAACAATCCAACTGAAAACGGTACTGTACATCCTATCTAGTAGTAAATACATAGACAGAACGCGGTGCACATTATCATCACCACCACACCCACAAAGTGAGGTATCAACCACTACAAAGCTTCTGTGTACAGGTGGGTATTCAACTGTAAGGCAACTGTTACCATGACAACCTGGAGAGACTGAAACAGATGTGCGCTCTCTTCTTCCCATTAATTTTTTGTTTTAATTTTTAATTTTTTTGGGGGAAGAAGATTGAGCTGATACGATTTACAGTACCACATCACATCCGGTCGGAGTCAAGACTGTTTAACAAAACAGAAAACATCACAAAACCGAGTTGTAACATTTTAAGAAATAGGGGAAAGATTCCTCTCATGTATCTTGAAGGAATCCATTTTTGACCCTGCTACTGCTTGTCACAGGCAAAATTAAGCTTTTTTCCCCTGTGTGTGACTTTTCCTTTATTGGTAATAAGAACAGACCTCCTTTGCCTTTTTACAGGTCAGAACACAGCTTAGAGTCCCGGAAAGAGACATGTTCTTGAACATATCAGATTTTTCCTACTTATCCTGCAGTGGGGACTAATTAAATCTCCTTTGTGCTGCTGCACCTGTAAAAAAAACACATCTCCTTCCCTTTGCTGCTGCTGTTCACAGAGCAGAGTTAGGAGGCAGCTACAGAGAGAGAGAGAGAGCAAGAGAGTGTAATTTAGGACCGCTGCTGGTCTCTAGGCCAATTATTTCACTTGGACACATCTAACTCTTCTGCCCCCGAAAGGGATGGCATGAGCCTGCTGGGGCGCGCACGCAATTAAACTTTAGCCATTGAAATTGGAATTAACTTGCTCTAACAACTCAGCAAATGTGAATATTATTGCCGATATCTGAGGATGATGCCGAGAGACTACGCTTACAGCACTTGACCAGAGTTCTGCTTAGAGGGTCCACTTGTACATTATGAAATAGATAGGATAAACAAGACAACAAGTCTCATGGCTGGCTCTTCTCTGTCTGCACATTTTTGTGTCGAGTCAGACGCAATCTTAGCTTTCAGCAAGGACATTGCAATGTGTGCACGGACCAGAGATTCTGTACACAGGCAGCCTTGGCAGCTGCCAGATTACCACTTGCAGATGGACGACAGGGACAGATACTCCTCTGTACCCACCGTCTGTCCACCTAGTCTTCACACGTTGTTGCTCATATACAGTCTGGCACCAACAGCTGCTTTGTTCTCAGACAGCATTTTATGGATTACAAAGAATGTATCTCAATAGTGAGTTCAGATTTGAGTATGAAGTAATAACTTTTCCTTAAAATGTGATGATTGTAGAGCTGAAACAATCGGTTGATTTATCAAATAGAATAATAATCTGCCATGGTCTATTTTTTTTTTCATTTTTCAAGCAAAAATGACAAACACTTCCCTAGTTTCAGCTTCTGAAATGCTTATCAAAATGTATATCTGGGGATTTGGGACTGTTGGTTGGACAAAACAAGTAATTTGAAGACATCAACGAATTGTGGAAGGGGGCATTTTGTGCTGCTTTCATAGACACGTCATAGAAAAAACTATTTATTGATTGAGAAAATAATTGATCAACATATTGATAATCATCAACAATGAATTTAATCTTTATTTGCAGCCCTAGGTAATTGTAATTTGATTGATGAATTGTTTTAGTAGTTTCACAGGTTCCAAATGTAAGAATTTGATGTTATTCTTTATGATGATAATAATAATAATAATAATTATTATTATTATTATTATTATTATCTGTTTGTTAAATAAAATAAGCAATTAAATACCTGACCTCAGGCTATCGGAAATTATAATCTGCAGTTATGACTATTTCCTGACATTATATAGGCCGAGCGGTTCATTGAGTAGTTGAGAAAATAATTGGTGGATTCATTGATAATGAAAGCACTCATTAGTTGCCGCTCTAGAGTTAAAGCCTCTCTTTGAAAAGTGATAATTATTTTCACTTTTCTCCTTACAAAGTTGATACAAAATGGTTGGAAATCTTTTCTGATACGAGTTCATTATCCAGAAACATTCCAGCTCAATTTCATCGACTTCACCTTCTTAATAAATGTAAACCGAGCTGAAATCTCTGAATCTGTGATACACCTCAGAGATTACCCATTTCTCATTTGGCTGGCCCCTTTTGACTTTTACATACCATGTCATCCTTTTGTTTAAGCTTCTGTACATTATTGCTGACAGTGAGAGGGGTTTTAATGGGTTTTATACATTTTCTATTATGGCTAATCACTTACAATTGTCTGTTACCAATGTGGGATGTGGAGTGCTCCTTATAAAGGAACCAAATGGATATTCATTTGCATCATATTGCTAATGGAGCTGTTTTTTAGGCATCTCCGGTAATGAGGAAGGGCAAACAAGTCATTGGATGAGGTTACCCAGGCAACTGTCTCACACTAACTTTATAAGTAATGGTCTCAAATGGACTTGTAGGCTCTCAGCCATGGGTTAAGGTTATGTTTAACTTAGCATAAATCTCTTTTGATGTTGTGAATCCCTGATCCTCATTAATGTTTTGGGTGAATAACTGATTGGGTGTCAAGATCCCTTCATTTACGACCACTAAAACCAAAGAGAAATCTTGATGCCCTAATGTAAAACCTTTAGATCTACAGCAGTTTTAACTGTATGGCAGCGTGTCCTTGTCAGACACTTTACAATATAGAGAAATCACTTCTTTTGCAGAAAGGAGACCTAAAACATTTCATACAAGACATTGTTTTTCAACATGGCTGCAGAGACATTTTGTGTCTGGTTTTAGTAAGTAACAAAAACATTCTACTCTAAGTGAGATGCTCAGCATCAACCTAAGCTGTTACATGTTCCGAATGTTAACCACTCATATATTTCTCTGACTAGTTCACATAAATAAATCACCAAATAGATAACCCACAACTGTGTCTAACTGCTACTGAACACAAACTGACACAGCAGTGTAATTAACATTTTATATCTAGAAAGATGAGCTTTTTTTCAAAAACAGGCAAGCCTCCTCGCTTGCAAGTACAGTTTATCCAGTTCAGCTCGAATTTGTTTGGGACACTCCAGGCCTTGGCAGCCATTTCAAGGGATCACTGAACACCTGTGAGCAGATGAATGCGTCTGTCGCTCCTCTGCTGTGGCAGCAGCAGTAAGGTCCTCTGTGTTTTGTGGCAGCCTTTGTTCAGCTTGGTTTCTAAATGCCATTTCAGCCTGCTTCTATCTGTCAGTCCATGGGTGTTTTGTGCTCATTACAAAGGGGCAGTAGTCATTTCTAACTACTACAGTATGGCTAGCCCACCACTGGTATTTGTGTCTGTGGTCCAGAGAGGGGCATCTGTGGGGCATCTCCTCTGTACCGCATAAGGAAACAAGGTGTTGCTACTCTGCAGTTTGTCCACTCGCAGCATCATTCTGCCAAGAGAGAAATACAGAAATTAAACATTAATGTACATTCTTATCACAAGGAATACTCTGTTGAAGCCTTTAATCACATCCTGTGGCTATTTCTCAGTGGATGGAGTTGTTTTTTAAGTATTTTTTCGGGAAGGTAGACAGGAAATGGAGCAGAGAGAGTGGAGAGGACTCAGCCTTAGTACATTGGGCGCACAATGCGCCAGGTGAGCTCCTGGGGCGCCCCCTCACAGAGGATGGAGTTGCCCATTTGTCATGGCTTTAGATGTGAACATGTGATCTTTGTATGGTATTTCTGTCTCACAATAACGAGTGGTTGAACTGTCTCTGAACTGGTTCCGTTTTTGGTTTGGTTTCCAGTTTTCATTACACCAGTTAAGTGGACAACACCAGCTGTCTGTGAACTAAAGGTCCTCTTGAGTATAAAATGTTAGATCTGTGAAGCAGCTGCGGCTTCAAAACAGCAGTGATGTCATAATAATAATGTCCTCAAAATGAATGTCGAAAGTCATATTTTTACCTTACCTTTCACAATCAAACATTTTGTAGTCAGCTGGGCTACTACAAAAATACTAAAAAAATAGATACACAGAAGATCATTTTCTAACCATTTTAAGAAAGGAATCAAATTCCAGAAATTAACTGTAATTTAAAGCCATACATGTTTTACATAGGCCACTGATTTTCTAAAATATTTTCTCCACCTTTGATTATGACATACCACATAATCAGAGCTGAATAGGCTTGGATCCATTCACCCAAACCAGAACCCCATTCCACTAAAACAAGACCCCACCTAACCCCATTAAACTGAGCTGAATTTGGACCTGGTCTGAGCCGGGTCTGGGTTTCTCAAACCTAAGTGGACCCCTGAAAACTCGCTGCCAAGTCATTAAATATTCCTTTTAACTGGACATTGCATATGTATTAATACTAACTTGACTGGAAATTGTGGACGTTATATATTTCTTTATTGCTAACATAACCACGGAGACCAGAAATGAGGGGGTACCATTATCATCATATTTTGAGAGTCCGTTGACATCTGGAGAGAGATCAAGGAGGCAATTCACATCCAACCTCAGTGACCCTCTTTGAATACAACCATTTCTTATTGTGACACGTGACAGTTCTTGTAATAACACGAAACCATCCATTATGGCTAGTATACCACAAGATTTGGTTGAAAGATTCTGAAAACAAGTGGACATTTTAGGATCACATACATACATGAATATACAAAGACCTCATACAAATGAATCAAACAGAATGAAAACAATTAAGGAATGGATGGTGCGTCATTGCCTCACCCAAACATTTTAAAACCCAAGAGTGCAATACTGCATCATAAAATTGTTGCCACATGAGTTGTTTTGGGAATAAAATCTCCTGGATCTTATTGAACAACTCGGACATGGCTTTTAGCAGCATGGCTGAAATTGTCTCACATCACGATGTGTGTGCTTAATGGTCCACATTGATCGTTATATAACAACATTGGCTGGAAAACACAAAGACTAATAAAACGGGGCAGCTTTGCTTTTCAAAAAGCAATCAGATTTAAAGGAATATTTTACAAGTCTGTAATTCTTGTAAAGACTTTCAGCCCACCCCTCCTCTATGAATCACATCCACCGCATCCATTTCTGCTGCCCAAGATAATGTAACTACATTTTAATGGGAAAATAAAAGTTTCCACCTCCTCGCCTTATTGATTTACCTTGCATTCTTGCATGGACACAGGAATATTTGTTATCAGCATGGTGACATGAAATTGATGCTTGAGCTAATTAACCCAGGATGTTTTTAGGACTTGAAGGTTATTCTAATGCACTCCAGAGAAAATGACTAAAATGCAAAGTAATAAATAAAATCAAACGCAGCCCAAAAATAAAAATGCAGCTACCCCACTTACTCCTGGCAATGCCAAAAGTCATTCTACGACTTGCAAAGAGGTAAGCCTATTCTCCTGCTCTTTCCCTTTAGCCTGCAGCAGAACTCTGTTCCTGGCTGCCTTTGTAGCATCTATGATGTTAATTAACTCACACCACATGGAGAGTGTTGCTTTAATTGGACAAGGTCTTGGCATACCCCTCTGTGTGTGGACAGACAGGCCAGGAATAATTTCATAATGTACAATTCTATTATTACCACAGAAAGTCAACCAGTGAGTTCAAAGATGGATGTGAATATGCAGGAGACACAGCAAGGCTTTGATCATACTCTGACAGACAAAAGAAAAAAAAGATGTGAAATGCCGTTTCAGCTCCCTGAGCGGACCCGCTTGTCACTTCCCTGGCAGACAGACCGGCAGGTGTTCAAGTGTTAGTGATGGTGTACCTGTGACCAAAGTGTTATAACAGACAGACTGGGAGAGGGACTCCATTTACTTGACTGGTTGATAATGCTGAGTCACCGAGGTCCGGCTGTAAGAGGCAGTGTTACGGTCGCCGGTGAGTCAGGTATGTATTGAATGTTATGACAGACGCCACCTCACATGGACTGCTCTATCCGTAGCTGAGCTCAGCATGCCCAGTAAGCTACCAACCTTTTAATGATGGGGGTGGTTACTGGCATGCTGCTGTAACTTGATGCCAAGTGATTTATGAATCACCAAGAGACTCTTTGACATGCTCTGGTTGATGTGCACTGGTGCCATTTGATGTTGCCCAACATCTAATTTCTCCCAACAAACATGGGCAAAGGAGCAGCTTATTTTCTATCTCGACTGCACAGCTATTTTTGCACGGTAATTCTTGATCAGCACCAACTAAAGACAAACTAAATGTATGTAAAATATGCAGTAAAGCCAGACTGAAATGACGGCAGCAGATTAGACATTTCTCACATTTCTGAGAGGATAGAGTTTCAGAGTGGGCACGCTACAAAAGGAATGTAAAATAAGAGATGATACTAAGTGCCAACTCTTAAATTTTCCTTCTGGGGTCAGTGATGCCGCTGTTGCCGCTGCTCCTCAGTGCACTAATTGCTAGAAGTGGACTATTGGGCAAAAAGGGTTGGCACAAACTGGGATCCTGGCCAAACTTGTCCTATCAGCACTTTAATGTTGCTGAGAACTTTATGGCAATAGAGCAGAAGCTTAGAGGAACAGCTGAGTTCATTGCTGTTTAATGGATGCGTGATTTGCTCAGATTCGTGATGCTAAAACGTTTTTTTTCCTGTAGCAATGTGACGGTTTAGCGCAGCGCTTCCCAGTAGTGTTTGTTTACGTACCCCCACAACCCTGTCGGATGAGCTCAAGTACCCCTTCATTGACACTACCCGTCATATTCCAAATGTGTTCATATGAATGAATTTTAAAGTGATGGATCGGACCACAAGGGCCAGCCTTCACTCCCCACGTGCATCAATGGGCCTTGGCCATCCATTTACCTGTCTCTGGTTCACCACTTTTCCTCCCTTGGACCACTTTTGATAGGTACTGACAAGAGCTGCAGCTTTGGAGATGCTCTGACTCAGTCGTCTAGCCATCACAATTTGGCCCTCGCAAAAGTCATCCAAATCCTCACGCTGCCCATTT